CGGCTGAAAAGAAGGACGTTTTTTTCTGGCGTGGGGTGGGGGAGGGGGGGGGGGGCAATTTTGAATGTTTCTGTAGAAAGTTTGGGTTTGCTATGCAATACTCAATCCCAAAACACACCTTGCTCAACTTGAGGACCTGGGACAGGAAGCCATACTTACACGTATTCTTCTTACTGGGCAAATTGTGACGACATAGAAAATTGTCTCAAATTGGCTTAGGTTCTGGTTTGGCCAGTTAGTATACAGAAGATCAGGCTGGCGCTTGTTCATCATTGCAAGAGTAAGAGGTTTTCGAAACAATTGTGGATCCCACTGTGGGGACCCTCATCACTTCATGGTCAATATTTCTCAAAGGGACCTTGATGTACTCAGAGAGGAACATCAGAACATGAGGCTCCATAGTCATGGTTTCCATACTCAGATGAAGCAAACCCCGGAACACCGGTTCGAGTACCGGTGGCAAGATCAGTGATGCACTTCTCTGCCAAACTTGCCTTTGCGGCCATAAGTCGGAAGTCTTTGCGCTTCCATCTGCTTGACTATGTAATGAAGACGTACACATGGAAATGAGCTTCTTGCAACGAGTTTGCTGTGTTCACCGCAATCGCTGCATCAAAGACAGACGTTGCTTTGAGAACGGTTGACATGGCAACAAGGTGAATTCACAGCACAGGTCCTACCCATTCATGTGATGAGCACCTTAAGTTTTACATCTTGTGGATCGACTGCAACGATAAGTAGAAGACGGTGTCTCAACTTAAGAAGTGAAGATAAGGGCAGTAGCCAACAGGTACACGGCAAAGCCACGATAGCCCAACACTCAGCAACATCAAGGCGAAACTGAGCAACATTAAGGCGAAACCGCACGTGCCTTCAATAATAACAGTAACAATAGTAATACTAGTAATAATATTAATGATAATTTTGTGCCATCTTCCAGGGTGCTGTCGACAGCCTGGAAGTCCAGCGCGTGCCAGCTGATGCCATGCAGTCCCCGAAGGAGGTAAAGCATGCCCACATCAGCCGAGTGAAACATGCGCGCAGCAGACATGATAAGTCTATGGCCTGCCACTGCAGCATGTTACACCCCATCGTAGCCGAAATCAGCGAATTGTCGCTGATGGCCAGGGTTGCTTGGTGCAGGCTTGGCCTGCACCATCCAGCCTCCTGAACATCCGAGGGCCCTGCTCCCCACGTGGGGCGTCGCATCAGCACAGCAGCTGGGGCGGCGAGTGACTTGCAAGAAATGCTTGTTGCTGGCATTCTGTTTTGAGCTTTTTGTCTACAGTTTGGTCAGCGGAGTGAGCAATGGAATCACGGAAAACAGGAACACAAGCGACCGTAGCTGACTATATGTTGGATAGCACTTGCCCGTTTCATTTTCCATTATCCCAATATACCCCAAGATGTACCCTATCATAATGTAGTAGTTTCCATTTTCTTTTCCATCATCCCAATATAACCCCCGCCCTACACCCTAAACTCTTTAACTTACACCCTAAGCCCTAAACAGTAGTTTCCATTTTCTTTTTCATTATCCCAATATAACCCCAATATAACCCTTATACATCACTTCTGTATCCAGTGTCGACAGCCTAGAGCAGCCACCAAGAAAGGGTGGAACTCCAGGTCCGGTCTTGCAAATGGCAATATAGGATTTGGGGTTTAGGTCATATTGGGATAATGGAAAAGAACATGGAAACTACTGCATTATACTAGGGTATATATTGGGGTATATTGGGGTAATCGAAAATGAAATGAAAACTTCTATGTATTTTTCCATTATCACTAAATAGCTCTAATATTATACCCCTATGTTATACTCCTATATAACCCCAATATGCTAATGGGGGAATCCGAACGCCTCTGCTTTTGGTTTGTAGATGTTCCTGTAGGGCTTGTTCCGATGAGCATCCAAAGAATTCCCAAATGGCGCTCCTTGCGATGATGTCCAGGCCCCTACTACCATGTAGCATCCCGATCCTTTTCAGAGGCTGCAATCCTGATATGCCTTTTTCGTTAAGGCTGGATTCTTAGTTTTAAGCAAACATGAGTTGTCAGTGCATTTCCATGTTAAACTTCATGCTCTCCTGCATGTCACGATGAAACCAAGGCGCTGCCATATGAGGCGGGCTCTGGGCGGAAAGGACCTCGATCTACAGGTTGGGTGTAGCCATAAACTCCCAGTTCACTGATTCACGCTCGGCGGATCCGCTAGAGACGTTCTGCAGAGACGTTCTGCAGTTGCAGCCGCCAATCGGTTTGCCAAACGTTGCCAGCAGCTGCCCACTACATGGGGCACCGTGCGCCGACTCGGCAGAAGTCGTACTTGGCATGTTTGGCTTGTTCAGAGTGACCACGCCGTGCAAGGTGTGTGTGCCATCACGGGCTGCAACTGACAGAGTGCCACGTTTGGCGGGCACACTCACTCGTGCAACGCCTCTGTTTGCCAACATCATGGTCCATTTCTGCGCGTTGCGGGCTTGGCGGGTTTAGCTCCTGCGGGGGGCAGCGCATAGACAGGCTCCAATGTTGCAATCCTTCAATGCACATGTGTTAATCCATTGTCCGGCTCGACGTTGACGGGTCCACCCATTGCAAGTGGACTTGAACCATGTCCTGGCCCTCAAGAATTAGAGGTCCGGGCGAAAGTCTAAACAATCGCGTCAAAGTCAGGTCCCAGCGCGTCACATGAGCACAAGGATACCAGTCTGCAAGCCAGGGACTGCTTCCTTCTAGGGTATGACTGGGTGTTCACTGACTCTTCGATTTCTACTCGCGCAGGATTTCGGAAGATCCTTACGCGGTTCCGTGCCGCCATTTTAAAGCATGTCATATCTGATGCCGACATAATTGAGC